CCGAACGCCGACAGCGACCTGGAGAGCCACAGGCTCATCTCGTAGCGGTCCGTAACCACCGCCTGCCGAGGCGCCCAGGCAAGCGCCCGCCCTCCCCTGCCTGGGCCACCCGCCTTCGCGTCTCGCGGTGCGCGGAGCACCGTCTTCGCGCTCTTGCGCGATTGCTCGTTCCATCATCCCCGTTTCCAAACTCCTCCTTCTTCCTCCTCTCTCTCTTCTTTGATGTTCGCCCTCCAATGTCTTCCCTGACTTTTCTCCTCATCCGTCCCTCCCTGCTGCTCTCCCCCCTTTCCCACCTATACCGTATATCTCCATCTCACTCTCATCCCTACCCCTCCCAGCCCCCTTCCCCTCATCGCCACTCCCCCACCTTCTCACAACCCTCCTTCCCACACCCCCTCCTCCCCATATCCTCCCTCATCCCATTCCTTCCCTCCTCCCTCCTCTGATTCCTCTTCACCCCATCATCCTCTCTTGCCTCCTCCGTCCTCATCCTCCTCCCTCCTCGCAGCCCTCTTTTCCCTCCCTGCTAACACCGTCATATTTCCTCGTCTGCATCTCATCCTCTTGTCCTTCTCCACCCCGCCCATCGTCCGAGACGAGTGCCAAACAATCTGGCGACGACGGGAGGGCGTTTGGCCGATGCTGGCACCGCGCCGGCCCTTGGACGAACCCAGAGCGCACCTCCGAACCCACCCGACGGAAACCGAGCCTCGCCCCTGCCCCCTGACCCTCCTTCTCGCTCACCCCTCTCCATCCGCCCTCCCCTCCCCGCCCCAACCGCACTGGCTGGGGGCCCCGTGAGCCTAGCGGGATAGCCAAGGATCCCAAATAGGTCGGTGCCTCCTCTCTCGGCGGGGTGCAACTAGAACTGGCCAGACGGCGACCCTACCTCCCCGCGGGCGCGGCAGCTCGTAAACGAAGGGAACGAGGAGCACCGCTGTGCGGCGCGCCTCGCCCTCTGCTGACAGCTCCGCCGATCTCTGATTTTTGTCCACTCCGCGGCCACGTGGCTCCCGACCGCCTCCTCATGGGGCGATTTTCTGCCCCGGGCCCGCTACTGGTGCCAACGGGGCCCGAGAATGGGTCCCGCAGATGGACCAGAAGCGAGAACATCGCCCAGACTTTGAAGACATCACGTCGGCGGAGATCTGGCCCTCGGAGGCCCCTGGCGGGGGAAACCCAAAGGCACCGATACCGCTACTCCGTAGACCTCTTCTGGGGGGGCCTTCTGACTAGGATTCCGAGGCGAATTCAGCGGTGGCGGTGGGCAGCGGTGGCGACGAAGGCCTCCCCGGAGGTCCCAAGAAGGGGAAAACGAGGCAATGGTAGTGGCATCGATGCCTTTTCCTCCTCCCCAGACATCCGACGTCTCGACTCTTTGCGAGGCACGGGCCCACCGACCTCCTGGCCACTTCCCCGGGGCCAGCTCTTCATCCCGGGTCCCTTCTTGACTGCCCCGAGGCCCGGCGGGGGACCCGAGAGCTTTGTGGGCCCCGGCAACGGCAGGGCCATTTTTTCACCGTTTCCAAAAAATGTCTCTTGAAAATGGAAACGGCCAAAAACGGCGACCGGACACGGCAAAAAAAAACGGCTCCAAGATTGGAACCGGAGCTGGAACCGGTAAAGAAACGGCGACGGAACCGGTAACAAAAACGGCGTCGGAACCGGCAACAAAAACGGCAAAACGGAACCGGTGAAAAAACGGCCCTGTCGTTTCCAGGGCCCACTGAGCCCGAGAGGCCGAAAACGACGAAGCTCCTCCGCCTCCGTTTTCTCGAGACGCCCGACGTCCGAGCCCGAGCGCCGCGGGCGCGGGCGGCACCGCCGCACCGCGTTTGCGCGGCGCGCGCGGCGCGCGGCGGCGGCGCGCGGCGGCGCCTCCGGCGACGCGAAGGGCCAGCCGGCGGCCGGGCGCCCGGGCAGCAGGTCGGGCGGCCGGCCCATGGGGGCCTTCTGCGAGACGGCCTCGTCCTCGGGGCTTAGGGAACAAATAAACCTACCTCGCTTTTGACCACCCTCGCTTCCAAGAGATACCAAGCTACGGCCTGTACTGGTCAGGCCGCTTGACGAGGAGGCGCGTGGTATGACTTGGTTTTGCCTGGAAGCGAAAGCGGGGTAGGTAATTCACGCTCGGAGGGCTGGCCATCGCTCGGACGTCCACTCCCTGGGTTTTTGCTCGGTGTCGCGCGTGGGTTTTTTTCGCCAGGTGATCGAGGGTGCTCCTCCTCGGTGGTCCTCGCCGGAGGAGGCATGCACACGTCGGAGCGATGCCACGGGGACGCGCAGGGACGCCACTGCCGGTACTGTGCGCGCCCGCCTCGGCGGCGCCGCGTCCGCCCCGGCCGTCGGCAGCACGGGCAGCTTGTGGTGCAGATCGTTTTTCCCGAGCGGCGTGGCCAGCAGGCGCCCGCCACCGAGCTTAGTCTACCATAATCACCAGCCTCGAACTTACCCCTATCCCTACGATGGGCGAGCAAAAGGCGAGGACAACCTTAGGGACAGGCCCTCAGAGACTGAGGGAATCCTCAAGATCGACATCGAGGAGAGGTGATGTCAAGCACAGGGATAGGGATATGCTTCAAACTGGTAATATAAGAGTTCTTGGCGCGCGCGTCGGCCCCTCCGGGAGTGACGCACACACAGTGGCAGCCGATTGGAGTGAGAGGCCGAGTCCTCGCCGCCGCCGGAGGGGGCACCGACTTTTTGATCCGCGGGTCGAGAGCGCACCTCTTCCGGTCGAAGCTAAGCGGGCCGCGCACAGCTTGAATTAACGAGAGGGGGGCAGAAGGAGGGGCCTCACATCAAGGCCAGGAGGGGGCAGAGCCCCGGAATCAAAGAGGACTGACGCACACATGGTGGCAGCCGATTGGAATGAGAGGCCGAGTCCTCGCCTCCGCCGGAGGGGGCACCGACTTCGGACCCGCCGTGCTCTGGCTGGCCGTCGGGCTCAGCACTGTGTTGGGAGTGCAGCCCGAGCGACGAGAAGACCCAGGGCGGGCATTCTCCGCCTCCGAGGAGTCGGGGCCGGCCTTCGCGCAGCGCTGCGGCGGAGGCGGCGGCGGCAAAGTAGGGCGGACATCGGCACCAAAGAAGCTTGAACCTTGGGGCGGACACTCCCGCTCTACTCACGAAATCGCCGAACAGTACGGCGGATCCGAAGTCAGGGGGGGGGCAAGCAGACTCTTCCCTCACCGCGCTGTTGCCTGCTTCGCTCCCTGGAGGGTCGAGGCCAGTTCCACCAGCTGGAGGTCGACGCGAGCTTCCTGTCGGCGGCACCAGTGCGCCTATCGGCCCTCCGTGGGCTACGCTCAGACTCCCGAGCCGACTCGACAGAGCGCTAGAGGACACGAGCCACCACGGGAGGAATCGGGGGGCGACCCAGGCCCCCCGACGCGTCTTGGCGCAGGCACGGCGTGCGCTTTGTGCTCCCTCCTCTTCCCTCTGCCTCTTTCTCCTCCTCCTTCCTTCTCTTCCTCATGCTTGTCTTCTTCTCGATGCTTCCTCCTCCTCCTCCTCCTCCTCCATCTCCATCTCCATCTCCATCTCCTCCTCCTCCTCCAGCTCCTCCGCGCTTTCTTTGTCACCCGTTCTCGCCGCTGGGCCCCCTCTGGGTGGCATCAGACAAACACATGCTTTTTACTGGTCGATGCTGTTTTGTCGGCCACCGGGGGCCCCGCACCAGGCCCTGGGGCCGGCCCCGGAGAAGGGGTCAAGAACCGCGGGGCGCCAGGCTGAAGCTGTGCAGACATAGCCGCGAAGCGGGCGTGGGGGGGGGGGGGCTGGGGAGGGGAAAGGGCGCCTCACCAGGGCCAGTCTCCACTGGCGCCTAAGCGGGCATGACGTGGCGCCCCGCCCTGCTGCTGGGCGGGGAGTGTGGGCACGAGGCGCGAGGGCGGAGAAGGGGCGGCGAGGGGGAATGGGCGGGGGTGGAGACGGCCCCGAGGGGCGACGGGACGGGACGAGAAATAGGACTGCCGGGCCTTCTCTGCTTTCCTCCTCCTCCGCTTCCCCCCCCCCGGCCTGCCCCCCCGCCCTCTCGATCCGCGGGCCCTCGACGGCGACCCGAGGCCCGACCACGGCGCCTCCGCGCTCCACTCCTTCCTCCCCTCTCCTCCTCTCTTTCTCCTCCTCCTCCTCCTCTCTTTCTCTCTCCTCCTCCTCCTCCTCCTCCTCCTCTTCCTCCTCCTCTCCTTTCTCTCCTCCCCTTCCCCCTTCCTCCTTCTCCTCCTCCTCCTTCCTCTCCCTCTCCTCTTCTCTCCTCCTTCCACTTCTCCTCCTCCTCCTCCTCCTCCTCCTCCTCTCCTCCTCCTCCTCCTCCTCCTCCTCCTCCTCCCCTCCCCTCTCTGCGCTTGCCTCCCCTCCTGCCCCTTGTCCTCCCCCAGCCCCTCCCCCCCCCTCCCTTCCCTCTCCCCCCTCCTCCCCGCCTGGCCTCTGACCAAGCCCCCACCCGACCTCCTCCTCCCCGCACCTCCTCCCCTGCGTGGTAGCCGCATCACGGCGCCTACTCGCATCCCTGCAGCGATGCTCGTCGGTTGAGCGGCAAGGGGGGCAGAGGTATGATACGTGGGTTCCGCGCGTCGTGTTGAGGCTCAGGGGCAAAAAAAGGGCCATCCTGCAGAGACTGTGGGGGAACAAAGATAGGGGGCCACATGCGAACCCTACCCCTACCCCCCGCGATTTCTGAGGGGGAGGGTGGGGTTCACTTCGTTCGGGAGCTCCCAAGCGAAGGGAACCCCACCCTCCCCCTCAGAAATCGTGGGGGGTAGGGGTAGGGTTCGCATGCGGCCCCCTAAAAGAGGTACCGCTACCGCTACTCCACGAACCTTTCCACGAATGCGTGCTGACCATAATTCCCAAACGTTTCCAACCGTGGCGACGAGGGCCTCCCGGGAGGCCCAACCACGGCGAAAACGGGGCACGGGTAGCTGTATCGGCTCCTTTTCCTCCTCTGAGACTGCGCCCCCGTAGGTTCACGCATGTTTCGGGGAACAAGCAATGATATGAACCTAAAAACTCGGAGGTCCGCGTTGATTTCTTGGATCGGCGCTGGACCACCCTCCCTGGCGCGCGGAGCGCGCCGGGAGCGGCGCCGGAGGCGTCGCCAGGGGGCCTCCAGCGCAGACCCGAAACACCTGCGCGGACCTCAGAGCTTCTGTGCTCCCGTCATGGCCTGCTCCCCCCAAGCGTGCGTGAAGCTGCGGGGGCGAGCTCGCAATGGTCCTGCCCTGCCTTCTCCTCCTCCTCCTCCTCCTCCTCCTCCTCCTCCTCCTCTTCCTCCCCCTCCTGCTCCTCCTCCTCCTCCTCCTCCTCCTCCTCCTCCTCTTCCTCCTCCTCCTCCTTTTGGACTTGGAGTCAGGATGAAGTGCACGAAGCGACACCCGCCAGGAAGAGGGAACACGAGACAGGACAAGGGCAAAGCAAATGCGAAAGAGAGCACGCGAAGCGTGCGGTGAACCCGGGAGCCTGCCAGGGCAGGAACGGGGTCCCGACACCCAAGAGGGGCAGGGCGGGCCGAGGCCTCGCACCGTGTTGCCTCGGGCCCGCTAGGGCTCTGGGCTAGAGAGTTCACGAGCAAAGTCGTTGCCCATGACTCGGGTGACGTACGGATCCAGGGGCTCCCAGAAGGCCATGAAGTCCAGCTCGACCTCCTCCGAAGAGGCTCCCCAGACATGCGGCCATCTCCCCTGGAAGACCTGAAGGAAAGCAGAAGCAGCAAGACGGCACATCCCCTGGGGGTACGCCTTAACCCGAGAGGTTCGCCACTGCCAATTGCCCTCCATGCCCGCAAGGGTCTCGTGGCCTCGAGGGCCATGGAAGCACCTCCCGCCCCCCCGAGCAGCCCGTGCCCCCAGGCCAAAAGAAGGAAGGTGAACCGAGGCTTCATCGACGGCGCCCCGAAAACGCACTGGTCGATGAGGACCCCCTCAACCTCGGGCCGCCCGAGGAGGAGCTCCAGCTCGTCGAGTTTCCACGCCGAAGGGGCCCCCAGACGGAAGGGAGGAGCAAGGTGCTCCATCACCGCCGGGATTTCGAGGCGGAGGGCAACGAAGAGGAAGTAAATCGTCGTGCGGAGCAGCAGGTTCCCCGCCTCAACCTGCCTGGCTTCCTTGGGGGTAAGGTCGCCAAGGCCCCAAGGCTTTCCTGGGGTGCGGAGAGGCCTTGGCGGGGGACCCCTACACTCGGTGGTGTCACGGAGGCGGGCCTGCGACCAAGTCTCGCACGGAGGGCCAGCCCAGAATCCGGCGACCTTGCCGCCAGCCATGGCGCGATACCAAAAACGGATCGTCTCCGGCCTCGAAACATCACCGCGGATGGGGTCGTTAGCCACGTCAAGGCTGATCAAACAGAGACAGGAAAGGACTCGGCAGCCCTCTCAAAGTCATGCTGGATGTCAAACTCGCGTCGGGCCCCAGCGAAAAAATGCAAGAGATACATGGTAGGCTGGCCGGGTGGCCTGGGAACCTGGCCCGCAAGGGCTCTATCCCCATAGTCAGCTCGAGCCATGGGCAAGGGTTTCCAAGCACGTTTTTCCCTCGGGACCTGGGCAGGGGGGCGAATCAAATTCCCAGGGACCCGAAAAGCCGGTTTCTCAGCAAAGTGTTCAGGTCTCCCCGCTTTACGGTTAGCTTTCCTGGCAGCGATGATGGCTTCCCTGTCCTCAGCAAGCTGCTCGGGGGTCTTGGGGGGCATCATGGGCCGCCAGGCCTCTCTGCACCTTGGACTTCGAACTAAGTGTTTATGGAGCCTAGCCATGGTATGATGCTGCATACGGCAGCTCTCGCAGAAGGTGCCCTTCATCCAAAGTATGGGGTCGTCCACCATAGTGTGATTTCTACTAACATGGATCTTGAGGGCGCTAGGGGACTAACATGTCCTCCTCCTCCTCCTCCTCCTCCTCCTCCTCCTCTTCCCCCTCCCCCTCCTCCTCCTCCCCCCTTGTGCCC